ATTCAGGTGTCCTCTAAGCTCACAATGACCGGTTAGTAACCCTGTAATTATTCTGAGCCGATCCCTACTATATTGAAGTAATTCTTCAGTTCTTTTCTCGGACGGTTCAATAATGAAGGTTCTACTGTGTTTGTTGCCAGGTACTTTCGTCTAGTACTCTGTGGTGTCTTATTGGTCCATGTCCTAATCTGGTTTCCTACCAATGATTTTGGTACCCCCAGAGCTGGTTCAGGACCTATATATGAAGTTGATGATCCGCGTCTAGCGCATCCATCAGCTTTATCATTACCTGTGATTCCTGAATGCCCTGGAACTCAGTGTGAAGTTAATTTGTTCCTGTTTGCAAGTTCATTCAGTTCTTCATGGCATTCCCAGATCAGTTTTGATGTCACCCTCGGGTTTGTTAGAGCCCCTAGTGCGGCCTTGCTGTCTGTAAAAATATTGATCCGCTCATTTCTTTGAGGTCTCAATTTAATAAGCCTTGCACACTGCAAGATAGCATACACTTCTGCCTGAAAGACGGATGTTTATAGTCCTAGCGGATAGCTGTAGTTTAGATTTCTATCCGCTCGGTATATTCCAGCTCCCGTTCCATGTTTGGTCTTCGATCCATCTGTATACCAGGTTTTTTTCCAAACATGTTTTCGGGATGACTAATGATCTTCCACTCCTCACAGCTTATGATTTTGGCCGTGAAGTTTGTTTAAAGGTGTACTTCGGTGTCATGTGGTCCGTGCACATATTCAGTATGTGCTCCTCCACCTGTTCCGAAATTTCTGTTCGGTCTGATCTTTTGTAGTTCGGTGAGTTTTCCAGTCTGAATTGGCCCGTGCTAGCCTCCCCCATTATCACAAAGTGTAAAGAAGGTAGATTCAGGAGTGTCACCAATGCAGCTGTTGGAGTAGTTCTCATTGCTCCCGTCATTCCCAAACATGCCTAATTTGTTGATGGCGGTCGCCTGCTTCATCTTTGGCCACCAGACCAGAGATGCGTATGTTATCATAGGTTTAACCACCATCGTGTATAGCCAATATACCATGTCTGATTTTAGCCCCCATGTTTTTCCATAGGTGCATCTGGCGAGCATCAGTGTTCCCTCCGCTTTCCTCTTTATACTGTCCAAGTGTTGGTCCAGGTCAGTTTGGAATCTAGGATTACTCCCAGATATTTAACCTACCCCAACACTTGTATTTCTTCACCTCGAAGTTTTAGAGGTCCGAGACCCTCCGTTTTAGTCCTCTTGGTGAATGCTACTATGGTCTGCAGAGCCCAGTGCTTTATACCCATTTTGGTCCAAGAGACATAGTAGCTCGTCCATTACAAGGTTCCATAACAGAGGGGATAGAACCCACCCACTGTGGACAGCCCCTTGCTACCCGTGCCACGACTTTTTCCCCCATAATGGTTGCATATACCAATCTTCCCCTAAGCATACAGTCTATCCACCTACAGCTTGACTTGTCGATCCCTCTTCTCATCGACGCCTGGATGATTAATTCTAACGACGTATCATCAAATGCGCCCTGAATGTCCAAGAAAGCAGCTAAAAGTACTTCCTTGTTTTTGTAAGTATATTCTACTTTTTCTGTTACCCGACATAGAGCCGTTTCTGTTGACATACGTGACCTGTATGCATATTGGTCTCGATAGCCTGATAGCCAGTGATACGTCCCTGATATGCCTGTCAAGTAGTTTTTCTAGCGTTTTCAACGCAAATGACATAAGACTAATTGGTATCAAAGCCTTCGCCGAGTCCTGTCCGATTTTCCCAGGTTTCGGAATGAAGGTGGCTCTGGTCCGTCTCCAAGTTTTTGGTATGTGTCCCAGTGATAAGCTTGCCCTGATCATTATACACCATTTTTTGAAAAGTACTTCCGGTCTCTTTTGAAGCATTACTGGGTATATGCCATCAGGTCCCGGCGACTTATAGAGTTGAAATGAGTTTACAGCCCATTTAATTTTCTCCATATCTATCACCTTCTTTGTCATTTGCCAGTCCTCCCTGGATGCCCTTTTCGAAGTCTCCAGTTCTGAATTCGCCCAGGACTTCGGTGTTAGATTTGTAATTTCTGACCCGGGAAAGTATACCCGGAAAAGCTCTCTGATAGTCTCTTCTCCAGTTTTTGTATACTCCCTCGTATTTGTTTTCAGATTATTTATTGAGACCTGAGGTTCCTTCGAGAGTATTTTGTAGAGCCTGGCACATGCTTGGGTTGGATTTTCTCAGGTCTTTGTTATACTCAGTTAGGGACCTTCTGTATTGGTCCCATGAACCTGATTTCCTTGCACATTTGAAGGCTTTTCTAGTTTTTTGTCTCATCCTCGCCAGATCTTCATTTCGGCGAGGATGAGGTACTACTCCAGCATTGAATTTTCATTCATTCATTTCATTCAATTTCTATTTTGTTCCCTTCGAAATAATTTCCCTCAGATATAATATACTCATGCCAATCCTCTAAGCAGTTCTGATATACTTTTTGGTATGTCCTTGAGCTCTCTCAGCGATTCGGTTTTTATCTCCTCAATTGTCGCAAAACGCCGTCTTTTCATGGGTCTCTTCAATCATGGAAACAGAAAAAAGTCGCAGGGGGTCAAATCTGGTGAATACTGTGGCTGATGCATGATAACGGTGTTGTTTTTTGGGCAAGAAATCACGAACAGGTAATGACAAGTGAGTAGGTGCATTATCGGGATGCAAAAGACATGAATTGTTTTTCCACAATACGGGACGTTTTCTTCGTTTTGATTTTCGCAAGCGGCGCATAACTTCAGGACAATACTCCTTCTTGACCGTACGACCATGTGGCAATGAACTTTTGATGCACTACACCATGAAAACAGTTAGCAAAAACTTGACATTTGATCGAAATTTTTGGTTTTGGCTCGTCTGGAATCTTCCATTGGGACGATTGGACTTTGGTTCCGATGTCATAACCATATACTCATTATTCGTCAAGAGTTATGACCCGTTCAAACAAACCTGGAACGCCGTTGACGTCATTCAACAATTCCTGAGCGATACTCATGCGACGGTTTTTTTAGTAAAAATTCAGCAATTTCAAAACAAAATTTGCTGTCACATGCTTCATGCCCAAAATTTCCGAAAAAATTGCATGGTATGAACCAACCGACATGCCCACATCCTCAGCAACTTCACTAATAGTGATTCGACGATTCTCCATAACAATTTGCTTTTCTTTCTCAACAAAGTGCCTTCGATGAAAATTACAAAGATTTTCAACAATTTCTGTCCAATCATTGAACTTTTTAAGGCATTATGTTTTTCTCTTATACAGTGTCATCCCCAAAGTATACACCATATGGGAAACTTATTTATTAAGGGTTTTTCGACAAAAAATTATTCTTGATAAAAGTTTGTGCATCTCCTAATACTGAATATGCACCAACAAAATACAGTAAAACACACGTAATATACGAGGAGCCTTCAAATATTTGATTTTGAGACCAGAAGTACTCTCATTTTGAAAAATCTCGGGAAGTGTTATTTAGAAAAGTTGTTTAGCATCTAGATTTGAAATCATGTCAATCTAAGTCGGGTTTTATTTTTTTACTCATTTTTTTCAAATGGGGACTACAAAAAAATTTTGCTAAAACGATAAATAGACAGAATCCTGTATACGACAGTTCATTTCAAAAGCCTGCAGTATTACAAATTACACAACTATGGTGTTAACCACGGTAAATTTTTTTGAATAGTAGAATAATTTTCAAAGTATTTGGTGCAAAGTTATTTTTATTTTTTCATCAAAAATTACTCAAAATTATACAGTACTGAAACAAGAACTCACAAAACATCAGAATAAAATAGGTATTTTGAAACAAACTCATTGATTTTCTGGAGATTATTTTGGAGAATTATTTTGGACAAGAAAATCTCCAGAAAATCAATGCGTTTGTTCCGAAATACCTATTTCATGTTGATGTTTGTTGATGTTTTGTTACAATACTGTACAATTTTAAGTAATTTCCGGTGTTAACAAAAAATAGGTATAAATAACTTTGCACCAAAAACTTTGAAAAAAAATTGACCATGGTTAACCCCATAGTTGTGAAATTCGTAATATGAAAAACTTTTAAAATAAACCGTCGTATACAGAATGCTGCCTATTTATCGTTTTAGCAATTTGTTTTTCGTAGTCCCTACTTATGGGTAAAAAAATAAAACTCCACTTAGATGAGCATGACTTCAAATCAGATGTATTTTTTGATGCTTATCAACTTTTTTGAATAACATTTCCCGATATTTTTCGAAATAAGAGTACTTTACTCTCATCTCAAAATCAAATGTTCGAAGGCTCCTCGTATATTACTTGTGTTTCATTGTATTTTGTTGGTGCATGTTTAGTTTTAGGAGATGCACAAACTTTTATCAAGAATAACATTTTGTCGAAAAACCCTTAATAAATAAGTTTTCCATATGGTGCATATGGTGGGGATGACACTGTATAGTGAGGATGATCTTCAGATCAATATGGGTAATTCTGATAATCAGTATTGCAGTGAACCGTGAAGGTGCACTCAAAGAACAAAACATGTTTTACGATGTTACAATGTAACATTGCCATTTTCCACAAAAATAACTTTCTCTATCAGGACCATTTTCCATGAGCTTCTGAGTTAGTACCATTTTGAAGGGATAAATTTTCTTTTCTTTCAATGTTCAAATAATCAATGAATGTCAAACATTGAACATTGGGTCTGCTCATGTAAAACTCTTCAATACGCCAATGAGCAAATGAAAAAATGAGCAAATTAAAAAACTGAAACTTTGGAAATAGCTAAAATGGTTAAGTTTTATATGGTTTTTGATAAAATTGGAATAATGTAAAACTTTGGTTTTTCGACCTCTCTAAATTAATTTTTATTAATTCCACTTAAAGTTTCACATGCAGTGTTGATAGTATTCAATAAAATGATTGTGATTGGAGGATAACACTAGTGACAAATCACAAATTGAATATTTCATAGAAAGAACAGTATTCAGTTAAAACGTTTATTAAGTGTTTTCTTTATTAGGTACTAATCTATTTACTTATTATGCCTAAAATAATACATTACAATTTTCGAACATTATAATCATTTTTTTACTCAGGATTCGGAATTCCATTCCTGAAACAAAGCATAAAAAATAAGTTATCAATACAGTATTCATTAAGATTATCTTATTTTTGTATATGATTGATCATAATCAATTTTTAGCCGTCGTTCATTCTTTCCGAATTATAAACTTGCGAAAAATTGTTGAATGTTGAATTTGCAATTTATTTCTATAAATATCTTATAAGCCTCAGATAAGCCAGAGTTTAGTCTAATATTTCATACAATGTTCCATTAATTTAGAGCTCAGTTTTCTCTGGGAGGTATGAGGTATAAAGAGATTATTATTATACAATTATCACCCTATGAGTTTTATTCAAGAAGGTTTTCACTACACAGTTGTGTAAAACATGTTTGATACGTTTATTTGATCTCTACCTCACATTTTGAATTGAGTGAAATATACCTAAACACCTTAACATTAAATTTTATATGCAGTTGAGCTGTTTGATGTCAGATGAATCGACTGTAGTCATCTTACATGATAACTTCGACATCTTTAATATCATTGGTCCATGTTTTGTCGTCATCACAACGCTTCATGGTGGTTTCAAATAAATCCATGAATGCTTCTCTGGTGATTGGATTTCCGCAAGAGAGAGATAAATGTGACTTGAAGCACCCCTTCAGCGATTTGATGAAACTGAAAAAAATATACTTTTTAATTCACATTAATGATAAACAAGTTTTAATCAAAGTGGAATGTTCACAATATACAAAGTAATCAACGTCAAAGTTGAGAATTGAGAATTAAAAACACAGAAGTTTGAATTTTCCAAACATTTTCAAAAGAGCTAGAAACAAGTTTTTGATATCATTCAAAAGTATCCAAAGCTGGCAACTCCGCGGTAATGCAACACACTCTCCATCTCTTTCTATTTTTCGAAATCTCCATAAATGGACTAGAATATGGATAGCGCAGTAAAAAGAGATGGTCTTATAATGCTTAATTCAGTCAGTTAAGATTTAATGATTCCAGGGAAAGTATTGTCTTCTTTTTTGCACAGTGAACACTATGAATTTTGTTCTTGTGGTTGAGTTACGATGAAATCAGTCCGGTCTCTGATACATTACTGTTTTGATTGGACCTGTTCTGTACTGACACGGGTTAACACTCCGAAATCAATCTATACTGCTGTACGATTGAGAAGCTTCTGTAGGGATTTTCTCTGTTAGGACACTTGCACAAATGTCTGTCGAATATAATTCTATGTTCTTCATGGTATTGGCCAAAGAAGTAGCTGTATTTCGAGTCGTATTTGCCATGTACTGTGTAGAGAAGTTGGCAGAGGTGGTGTTTCGAATTCATTAACAAAATCTTTGATTTCACTATTTATGGTATTCATGTAATCATACCAAAAGTAGTTGTATCTACGTATGTCTTTTATGCCGTTCACAAATGATTTGGAAAATAGAGGATCCAGGTTTGATCTTTGAAGTACTTTCACAATCGCACAAGTGCACCTGGCACTCTCACAATTTTTTTTAATTTCCTAACTGAAACCATTTGTTTTCTGTCACCAAGGATTTTTGGATCAGACCCTGGTGGCGTGAATCGCAAGGTTTTAGCTATTGGTGACGATTATTCAAAGAATATAAATGCAGTTGATTCAGTAATTGTCGAGAAATCCAAGAAATTAACTGTTCGTCTGTTAATATGTAATATTGGCTTATCTGCTCAAGTAGTGACATGATTTAAGGGTCTCAATCTGCGAGATGTACGGCGTGATAGTAATGATCTCCATGAATGAGGTAATCTTTGTGGAATCATCTCGTTTATTGAGGCAGTTGGAATGGTTTTAAATTTCGATAGCTTCATGGATTATTTTAGCCTGGAGAGGTTTTTCAGTGGTGTTGTTGTTTTTGAAGCTTATTGTGTGGCCTATTTCACGATGATGTTTGAAGAGAGATGAGTCTGGATTTCATTTATGGACAGCAAACTGTGTTGGAGACTCCTCCAGTTGTCCGACAGTGTGAGTTCTGGAGCATATGGAACATGGTATTTTGTATATGCCCTGTGTCTCGTTGGAAATCGTGTTCGTGGGGTTCGTAAAAAAAGTGGAAATTTGATTGTTGGCTGTGAATACTGTTTATATATCGCGTGTCTTCAGAATTCGGCTCATTTTGTCGGTTGACCCACCGATATAAGGAATAAAAGCTTCTGGGTGGTCCGTCCGATCATCGGGATGTTTGGGATCTGGGGTACGAGTTTGCTGAAGTTGCATGGATCTTTGGATTTGGGATTCGGGGATTAGCAAAGGGCGGATTTGAGTTCGTGTAGTTCCGTGGATCTATTGTAGCTAACAGGTTTGATAGACCTGTGTATGAGAGTATTCAAAACGGAATTCAATTGGATAGGATGATGATAGGACTCAGTAATGACGTAACAGTTGGTATGGGTTAGTTTTCGGAAACCTACCTCTCACCTGTTTGTAAAATTGAAAAGGAGATAGGTGCTCGACATGCAGTGGCTGATGAGGTTGAGAGTGTCTTGGGGAATTTGGCGTTTCTTTTTGAGGACCGATATGCGATACTGCAACAGAGCTGACAACGATGCCTGTTTGTTGGATATTGAAGAATTGCAGGATTTTAAAGAAGTTATAGGAATTTTGGACATATAGTGAGAACAGTTAGGCTAGTGGTTGGAGAGTATCAGCAAGGTGTTTGGCAAGGGAGTGAGATATTTCTTCTTGTCAGCGGGAATGTTGATGTTTTTTTAACAGCGGATTTTTTTAAAAACAGGATGAGTCTTGTAACTGGTGTCGTCCATATAAACAGTAAGTAACTTCAATATTTCCAAAACAAGTAGTTTTTCCGACTACCAGAATTGCCCTACTCTTTTCGACGCACGTTTCAACAACAAAGTTGGCGTCTTTCATAAATCCAATATAGTTCAAGAGCTATACAGGCTGTTTCCAAATTGCTGTGAGAAATATAAAGGTTAATTCAGAGGCAAATTTTATTTGAAAAAGTTCATGTAATCATAGGTCTGGAAATGCATCTTTTCCAAAATCAGTGTGTTGAACCTTTTCTGCAAAAAATAATGTGGTGGTATTTGGGTACATTATTTTCAGTGATAAGAGATTGATTTAGCCTGAATCAGATCACTGAATCCAGTGGAGGCTCTGAGCACACTTTAGTCAACGTAAATGGCCAAAAACTGAACACCATGGACGTTTCTTGTAACATTCAACTCTTTGTTTTCTCGGTACGCTTCATTTTCCAAAGATAATTTACTTTGTTGCATATCCCTTGATGAAACAATATCTATATGATATTGCTAGGTAAATGAGACATGGAGCAAACAATTTTAATATCAGGTGTATCTACAAGCACTGTTCTAAATGATCAGCCGCTAATTCAATACAAGAGATGAGATTTTTTTCAGAAAAGTATTCCTGTATCTTGGAACAAAGCATTTACGGACCTATGTTTATGATAACTTTTTTATTATATCAGCTCCTGAACACGCCAAAACATATGTTAATGAGAATTTTTTTTCGTGAGATCGAGTAAATATTGGTTTAGGTGTATCTTCAGAAAATTGTCTAAAAGTGTTCGTCTCCTTCTAATTCCAACGGAGAGTGTTATAACCAGATGATTCCATTTCAACAATCTGATGAGTTTACCACAAGGTGGTTTGGAGTGTAAATGTTCTATTAACCCTCAGAATTGAATACAAATTTATCCCCTGACTTAGCATATAGATTTTTTAGAACTTCTGTATGATCATAATGGGTCAGAGCTAGTACTAGAGTACCACCAAAATTTAGCCAAAGCCTCGGTAGATAATAACATTATCCTGAGGTTACAGGTGTAAAGGTAATCGCATTGCCCATTCTATAGCCAAGGAAGCGGCTGGACGAAGAATTTTAGGACCCAGTGACACCTATTGCCTGATGACTTCGACAAATGCGTCACTAGCCAAATGTTACACCAATGCTCAATCTTCAAAGAGATGGGATGGAATTAAAGGATGCAATCTTGCCAGGATCACCCTGGGCGACCCTGGGAAGCTGACGCAGAAGAAATATTTGGCGATGACCAGGAAAAATCTACACTTAACAGTAGGCTTTCTGACTGGCCACTGTCAACTAACGAAACACCTCCATAATATGGGGTTAGTGGACACACCTCTATGCAGGATGTGTGAACAGGACGATGAGCCTGTCAGGCATGTCCTATGCGAGTGTCCGGAGTTATCGTCAATAAGAGAGCGTGTGTTAGGCGAGTCTTGGCCTACACCTACCAATATGAAGGAGATGTTTCCTAGTGAGCTGTCCATCTTCCTGGAAAGGAAAGGATGGACGATGAATTAGGAGAACAACTCCTCGGGAAGATGTACCATGGTCATATGTGGCATAAGTGCTGTGGGCTTACACTCACCCACCTTACACTACAGATACATATAATGGATCACAAGTAATGCTGCCAAAGGCAGTCAATCCGAACAGGTGTATAGAGGACTAATGTACTAGGTCTGATAAATTTACCTGTTAATACTATACAGGGTCCTGCAACAGTGGCGCGGTGTTCCATATCTCTATATAGGAAGCAGATAGGAATCTAATTTTCTATAATATTACCTTATTGATAAATGTTCTATTAACCCTCAGAATTGAATACAAATTTATCCCCTGACTTAGCATATAGATTTTTTAGAACTTCTGTATGATCATAATGGGTCAGGGCTAGTACTAGAGTACCACCAAAATTTAGCCAAAGCCTCGGTAGATAATAACATTATCCTAAGGTTACAGAAGTAAAGGTAATCGCATTGCCTATTCTTTAGCCAAGGAAGCGGCTGGACTAAGAATTTTAGGACCCAGTGACACCTATCACCTGATGACTTCGACAAATGCGTCACTAGCCAAATGTGACACCCATGCTCAATCCTTAAAGAGATGGGATGGAATTAAGGGATGCAATCTTGCCAGGATCACCCTGGGGGACCCTGGGAAGTTGACGCCGAAGAAATATTTGGCGATGACCAGTAGGATTTTTGACTGGCCACTGTCAACTAACGAAACACCTCCATAATAAGGGGTTAGTCGACACACCTCTCTGCAGGATGTGTGAACAGGAAGATGAGCCTGTCAGGCATGTCCTATGCGAGTGTCCAGAGTTATCGTCAATAAGAGAGCGTATGTTCGGCGAGTCTTGGCCTAAACCTGCTAATATGAAGGAGATGTCTCCCAGTGAGCTGTCCACCTTTCTGGAAAGGACATGATGGACGATGAACTAGGAGGACAACTCCCCAGGAAGATGTACCATGATCATATGTGGCATAAGTGCTGTGGGCTTACACTCACCCACCTTATACTACAGATACATATAATGAGTAACAAGTAATGCTGCCATAGGAAGTCAATCCGAACAGCTGAACAGAAGACTAATGTACTAGGTCTGATAAATTTACCTGTTAATACCACTCACATGAAAATAATAATTAGACCTCGTGAATTATTCCACACCGCCCATGCCATACAGAGAAACTACCGACGTTCGGTAACTATTCAGTTTTTATGCCATTCGAATTGACTTGACTAGATAATGATAGTAGGCTATACTTTTTTAGATCTAACACAGCTGATATTTTATAAATAACTCACTTGCAAATTTCAGCTTTTGATGGTACTTCTGAAGAATATTCTTCTAGTTTCAAGTGAACCTTCAGCATACAACGTCTCATACGATAACTAGGAGTTTGTACACAAGGGTTTGACAATTCTGAAAAAAATTTGTTGATAAAAATCAACTGTAGAGTAACTTATTTTGAACCTTCACTTGTAAGAACTTGCTACTCGTTTAACTATCGTTTTCAATAAAATCGAACCTACCAAAAATGTGCTCTCCATCAATTCTACACACATGGTTAGACGTGGAAATGAAAGTGTCCACCATGAATGAAGGAAGTTCCCTTGATTTGTCGGGAAGACATTTTTCGAAAACTTTAACGATTGGTTTCAAACATCTTGAGAAATGGTTTCTTACAGTTGAGCAGATTGTTTCCTCAGTCTCGTCAATGGAATCTGTACACCTTTGAACTTCATTGATCGCATCCTGCAATAATACAGTACACAGTATAACACCAAGTTTATTTTGAACAATGTGTGTGGAAATGTATTTTTTTGTTAAAGAGATATTGTCCCTTTGGGAATGACAACTCTCAGAGGTGGAAACATTAAAAATCGAACGTGGCACAGTTGGCATCAAGTCAACGGTCACATATTGTTTGATTGAAAGAGTCGAAGGGACCATTCATGCAAACCAACCAGCAACCGTCTGAACAAACCAAATTTTATTACTTGTGCTTATTGAAAGTTGAGTAGAAAAATATTCGGAACCACTTGATCAGAGATCAAAAAACATGCATCTTTATTATTTGTTGTATTATAAGCCTCAAGTATACGACTGAAAACTCAGGAAAAAACATGAATGCATGCCAAATTCCACTGATGAGAGCTATGGTGGGTTGACACAGTGATATCTGATATTGTATCAAGAATGCTTTGGTTTCAATTTGGTTGCAACTGGTTGCCTTATAGTGGAAGCTGTTCTGAGAGATTGGAAATGAATCTCGTTCGAAACTTGACTTTGCAATTGACCGCCTAGTGGAGCCTTATTTATCGTCGTAATTCGTGGACTGAGTCTCATATCAATCTCATAGAGATCGATTGAAGATTCATGAAATTGAAAGGAAGAAAAGTAATCGCCTTTACTTCCTTATGCTTGTCCTTTGACAGTTGAGTTCAGCAATGCATTAGTAGTTCAATACAGCATCACTTGTGGCACCTGGAAAGGACTTCAATAGAGTTTTGAGAAGCATATCTTATACTGAGATCACTTCTCAGTGAAACACTCTAAGTTGCTGAATTTATATCTTTTTATTTCGATTTTTACTGCTCGGCTTCCTGAAGATGCCATATGCTGAACACCACAAGTACCGAAATGACTTCAGGCGAAGAAGAGGTTAGAATGGGACTAAACTGGAGTTTATCTTCGACGTTTTAACATGTGAGTCCTAGCATGGGTCAGAAGATATCCAGCGAACATACATCATAACATAACCCCAGAACTAACATCAAAATAGCGGTAATTTTTTGAGTGGAACTCATTAACCAATCAGCTGACAGAACATTGTGCTAAAGATTTGAAAAACTGTTCTTCAAATATATTTCAAATGCTCATTACAAAATAAACTCTTTTACGAAGATTTGTAGATCAATCATAGAAATTACTTTCAGATTCAAACTGGAAGAGAAAGCTTTCCCAAAACAACTACTATCACATGAACATTGAATTACATGAAAAAAAACTTACTTTTCACTTTTCCTATTCAGTTTGTACTCCAAACATTCGTTACGGAATTGATACAGGATATCTTCCATAGGAACGCTACACAACATAATATATAAAAGAGTAATTTATATGAAACACTATCATACTCAATGACGTACTTTGAAATTTCGGAATAAGACACCTGTCTTATTACCAAATCACCACCTATTTGGATAATATCAAAGATGAAGCACTGATAACATTATAAGATAACGACATTATACCCCCGAAACAAAGTGAGTCCCAAACAAAAAAATGTTGTTTGAAGGATACTCACATATATATTTCTGAAGTTTTTCTGGAGGAAAAATGAAATGTACCGTTAACTAAAAAGCTATATATCACTTAAGATATCATATTGAGAAGGTTATCAATTGTGATGCAAGAATTGAACCCTCAGGTACACCTGGCCAATGAACCAGAAGATACTTCAATCACCACATCAAAAATCCTAGCCGAAAGCTAGCAAATAATCAGTATTATATTCGTTATAGGCAATTGGCAGCTTTCGGAGATGTTACAGAGATTCAAATGCTTTAAAATGAGACTTTGAATGATTCAAGGATTGTACGACACATTTCTTTGCGATGGTAGTTCTACCAATGAATCGAATCTGATAGGTCTTCAAGGTTTAAAACCTAGGATATAAAATCAGTTATGGAAAAATGAGCAAAACAATCATCTGATACAGATTTCTACTAGAAGTAGAAATATAAATATAAAATCAGTCTGTCAGAGACAGTTTTATAAGAAATTTCATCATGTATTTTCCACGATAGCAACCAACCATAACTCGCGTGGAAGTAAGTGCAAATTGTAGCTTTTTGTTTGAATATATTTCACGTTAATGAAGTATTCTTCATTCGTACGACTGGAAACCACCAAAGAACTGCTTTTACATTCTCCTAAGAACAGGCCCGAACTTGTTTTTGCCCATTATCTTTTTTCCTCTTGTTGAAAGATTGCTCGCGTCGCTTTGCTATCAGTGATATAAAAAGTCATGGAAAAAATCGTAACCCACAATATCCTCAAATATATGGAAGGCTTCAACATCTTGAGCGATCATCAATATGGCTTTCGGAAACAAATATCAACAGGCGACCTTCTATCGTATGTCACCCATATTTGGAATAACGCTATCGAGAAACATGGAGAATCAAGAACTGTTGCGCCTGATATTTCTAAGGACTTTGATGCTACGGCTTGTCGGATCATTTTTGTGTATGGCTCTTCAGCTTCCTGAAAGAACGTTCCCTGCAAGTAGCCGTCGATGAACATCTCTCGAATACTTCTACCATAACGCCGGTGTTCTCCAGGGATCCATATTGCTTTTTATTGTATATCAAAGACTTATTAGAAAAAACCAAGAATCCAATATATTAATTTGCTGACGACATCACCCTTGTCTAGTCATTCCATTTGGATTCCAGGACATCGGCTACGGAGGCACATCTTCACCGGCAGCAGGAGGTTGCATATCTTAATGAGGATCAAGAAGTGATTTGGATTGGGGTGAGAGTAACCAGGTTCATTTCAATGCCACAAAAACCCAGGTATCGGTTTTCTCCAAGAAGATAAATGTCAGGTCAGACAATTCCGCTTTCTGCTTAGATATGTTTGTTGGGGGTTGAAATGAACACCGATATGTATTGGCACAATCAAGTCACTGGAATTGCGAAGTCTGCCTCTCAAAAGCTTGGCACACTGTTCCGAATCAGAAAACTGTAAACACCTCAGCAACTTTTGATGCTTTATAAAGCTCACATTAGACCTCCTCTGGAGTATTGTTCTCATGTATGGAGCTCTGCCCCCAAACATACTCTATCCTGATTGGAGACACATTGCACATCACGTACAACCTTGATAGCCTGGAACATCGAAGAAAAATTGGATATTTGTCTCTATTTCATAGATACTTTCACGAGAAGTGTTCAAGTGACTTGGCACATTTGATTTCACCAAGAGCGGTACATATCAGAAATATGCGACGGACTGTGACTGCTCATCGTTTTGAGCTTCAACGCAGTACACCTCGAACTTCACTGCTTAAGAACTCTTTCATCTAGAGAACTGCATTTATGTGAAATGAACTTCCTGAGAACGTTTTTGCAAAAGGATTCAATCTCCAGCGATTCAAATCCAATGTGAATCGCTACTTTCGCACAGGCACCGCTCTGAGAGCGTGTTAAGAATATTCTTGGAGTGCTTGTGTTTCGTCCTTGAAAAAAACTATGGGCTTNTTTCCAGCGATTCAAATCCAATGTGAATCGCTACTTTCGCACAGGCGTCTTAAGAATATTCTTGGAGTGATTGTGTTTCGTCCTTGAAAAAAACTTTGGGCTGATACCTTTTGCTCGCTCAAAAGTTGCGGTGAAATGTACAAATTTGCACATATTTATGTAAAGGGGTATTTATAGCACTTGTTGATACTTTGAAACAGGCTTAGGCAGCGTCAAAATATTAATTTTGGAGCACATAAAATCAGCGATCCTGTAGTTGACAGTTCGTCAACGGATAAATTTCATGACGAAATAAAGAGCTGACTCAAGAAAAAGTTAATCAGCTCCGTAAAGATCACTTGGTTACGAATATATCAATGATATAACTCCTCGAAATGTACTGAAAGTGCAACGGCTTGCTTGATTAATAGCCTCCTCAAGCGTTTCAATACTCATAAAAACGCTTGAGGAAGCGCAATAAAGTATTAATTGAATGAGGAAATTGACATTCTTATACCTCCGAAATGAAAATACTCTTTTAGCGAAACAGCTTCAACTCACTATGAAATCTTCTCTATATCCTGGGCAAAATGTTTCTAGCTTATCGACAATTTGATTGATTTGGTGGTTTTGTTGAATATATCTCTGTATCATTTTGAGGCGCATATCCCTTAAAAGCTCTTCACCGCTGCTCATTGACAATGCCGGACTGACAACTGAAAAAAAAGGAAAACTATAAATGGTGTTGTTGAAGTAAATATTTAAGTGAAAGTTGAATTGCTGGTACTGATGGAAAGGTTGACTTCTCGCCTCACTTGAAGGTTTTTCAAGTTTGAAGGCTAGCAGATTCAGTAACTATGACTCATATAACCCTGACTTTGAGTTGACCTTCGTCTTAGCGGTCAATGCACATATCACCGATGATTTTGCCGCAGTAGTAGACGAAACGCTTATCACTACAAGTTTCATTCGACCACTGTCTACCATCTTGAATGTTGTTCTCCTCAATCGTGACTCTGGCTGTGTGAGCCTATGTTTTTATACGAGTATTAACAGTAAATTGTCAGTGAAATTGCACCGTGGCAGTTGCTTCTGATACTATAGAAAAGATAAATATTTTCGTTGAAGGTACCTTGGAATACATAGAATTTAAGGAGGTGGAAAATGTAAACCTTTCATATATAGTCAATCATTATTTTTGAATCACTGCATTTTCATAAAATATAAAATATTCTGCCACATTATAACCACTATATTATATTAATGTTTTGTTCCTCACAAATGAAACCAGTTGCTTATTGATTCCCTGATGGTCATACAATATGTATTGTTCTTTAATTAGAAAATAATACGAAATGAACAATAACTCTTGAAAAAATAATCGAGCATTTTATTAGGTTGTTTCAAAAATTTTGTCCGTCTTTATGAGTCTACATTAAACTAATATCTCAGTGCATACTCATTCAATTTGATCGGAATAAGCGCCATTTCAATCAGTGCACCTTTGTCAACTTAACGTCAGCATAAAAATTCTGTGGTCGGGATTCGATGAAGTCGACGAAGGCCGTTTTTTGTCTGGTTCCGATTGGCGAAGATTCTACCGGTTATTGAAAATAACGAAGTACTTGAAAAGATGGTAGTCAGTTGGCAAGAGGTCTAAGGAGTATGGTGGGTGAGAGAGAATTTCGATGCTCAATTTGTTAAATTTTCTGGCAGTAATTTGTGAAACGTGCGGACGGGCGTGATTGTGGAGCAGGATCGGACCTCTTCTGTTGACCAGTGCCGGCTGCTGCTGATGCAATTTTTGGTACATTTCTTCGATTTCCTCACAATACGACTGGTTTGGTCCGGTTGCAGAAAGTTATAGTAAATCACACCAGCCGCTGACTACCATATAGTAATCATGGCCTGTTTTGGTGGGTTTTTGCCTCATCGGTGTCCAACCACTGTTCCGAACGTCTCCTGCTGTCGTTCCAAAAAAGGATAATTTTGGTTGCGCAAAAGCAAAGAAGAACAGACCTCAAAACATGACAATTTCTGTCGAACGTTAAAATCGTGGAGCACCTACTATTAGATATGTTTTACCTTTCCAGTGCGTTTAAAACCATTAAAAACCGCATGGGACCTCACCCCCAGTTTTTCCGCCATCCCATGTACCGTTTGTGATGTGTCAGTCTTCACCAGGTAACTCGACTCTTCATCCTTGATTACTGTAGGTCGATCACTTCGGGGCTCATCTTCTAGAATGAAATCTCCTAAACGAAATTTAGCAAATCAACGTCGAACAGTGCGTTCATTAACACTATCATTGCCAAAACCCTGGGTAAATTTTTGGGCTGTTTCGAATTGGTAGAGAAAAACTTGCTGAAAATCGCACAAAGACATCAAAAATGAACAGCATCAATGTATCTCTATCTGTATCTGTAGAGTAGGGAGGGTGAGTGTAGACCCACAGCACTTAGGCCACATGTGACCCATTGTACATCCTCTCGAAGAGTTGTCCTCCTGGGTCATCGTCAATCCTGTCCTTTCCAGGAAGGTGGACAGGTCACAAGGAGACATTTCCTTTATTTTGGCAGGTGTAGGCCAAGACTCGTCGAACACACACTTTCTTTGGCAACCTTGAGGTGTCTCACGGTAGCCTCCGCGAAGGTTTTGGAAGGTGCAACGACATTACTGTCGTTGTGCGGCTTCTCCAACCTCCTTGGGGTTCCCTACGTGGATATGCACAAGTGAGGGAGCTTTCCTGCAGGGGCAGCCGGTTCCTTGCCTTTATTCAAACCGGAGCTCTTGGCGCCCGCCGCAGGAAGTGCCCTTGCTGTTGGAGGTGGAGTGGATGGAGGAGGAGGAGGGTGCACTTACAGTTGCTGCCACTCCCGCCTCCTTCGCTCTTTTCTACTTTTGGCCTTGGCACCGCAAATGCGCTTACGCGTTGGCCTTTGTATTACATCACGAGGTGATCTGCTATGTCCAGCCTCATTTCAAGCGGTAGATTGGGGTGGACATTTCTGTTCATCTCCAGCCATCGCCTTAGATTGAGGTGAGCATTTCTGTCCAGCCTCGGAATTGGTTTTTGTTTTTGTTGTTTCTGTTTTTGTGTTTGTTTCATTCATGTGTGTTCCCATGAGTAGCAAAGGGAAGAGTTGGTCACCTCTGGCAGAATCCCTCATAACCAGAGGTAGGCTGATTACAATAAAGTTTCGCCCAGTTTCCCGAGGGGATCGTTCTTAACCGCATATCACCCTGCGGCCATTTAGCTGTCGGCACGATTCCTTACACCTCAGCTTGGGTAGGCTAGTCCATGGTTTGGTCCAAGCCTTTTCGGGAGTTTTAGTTCCCCTCACCTTACTTATTTCTGTCACTGACCAGGAGTCCGGCGACCCCGTCCGTAAGACCACATTGGCTTCCCGGGCATCCAGTCCTCTGGCTGTTCCCCTCTCCGCCACCTGGGGACGCGCTCGATTAAAATTATTTATCGATCAGTATGTACCACGACACAGTAGAATGAATATTTATTGAGATATGGAGCTACGAAAACATATAACATTAAGACGGACAAAACTTTTGAAACAATCAATTATTAGTCCACATTGAAATTCAAAAATGAAAATTACCTAATTATATTCGAGCTAGGAATTGTTTTTCAAACGTTGGATTTTTCTATTGAATAGTTGTCGTTTCCTAATAACGACGACTTCCATAACTCGAAATTTGAGCGAGCTAAGAATTATTGAGTTCTAACCAGTTTGATTCCTAGTGAACTATTTCACACAATATTAGTTACCATTTCCTAATTTTTATTTTAAGTGAGATACTTTTTTTGTTAAATTTCGAAAAGCAAAGAGCTTTTACTTTCTATCAATGGATTGTAGAAATGAAAGTGACTGGCTTTACAATTTCACCCACCATATATCCACTTAATTCGCTGGAGACACCAGAGTTATTCTCAGGTTTGGATTTCAACGGAAAATTTGTATGCTAATCACATTTCTAATTTTTTTTCTTCGATGATTCTAATTTCAAGAGTCTAAATTTCGACTTCAAACTGGAAGTTTCAACTCTAAAGGTAGTATTTCGCAAATAAACAAATGGTATTGAAACTACTGAAAATATTTTTCCTACGCACCAGAACTTTATCAAAGTCTCTCGACACGCATTTGGTTATTATATTATCAGAAGGTAATGGGAGTGTTACCATCTCCTGATGATGCTAACTTGGTAACTGAAACATGCGCCGAGAAAAATAGCGCTAAAGTTCTGATGTGGGAAAGGGGTATTCTTTATATCCAATTTACGCCCCAATCAAATACTTGTGAATCTATACAATCTGACCCTATTGAGAATTAAATTGTTGAATCCTTTCATATATAGTTTGCATTTATCCTTTGCATGATTTCATTCAGGGTTCTGGATTAACCTTCAGAGGCTATCATTCCCCTCGTGTTTAATAACTGTCGATAGCAAAGGTCAAAAAATAAGCTATTTTTCAGATATCGTGTACTTAATGGTGAAATCGTTAAGTATAATATTGCTTGGAAACGCAAAATTTTAGATAAATAGCGTATTTAGAAATATTGTTTCGAAACTGAACATAATTAATGTTTATCCACACCTCTCTGGGTAAACAAAGTCAAAAAGTTTTTTGAAGAGCACGTAACAAATTCAAATTAAACTAAATGATAGTACATATCGGATTTCAACAGAGTTCTTTAGGTGGATATAACGAAGATATCACCATGCATTATACAACTAGCACTGGACAGATGACAATATAGTAATAACATTTTGTTTGTAGTACATGTGGTATACTATAATGTAAAAGTTTGAAGAATACATTTTCTCATTAAGATTGTTGAAATATTACTGGAGTATTTTCCCAACACCAAAACGTTATTTTAACATCTCGACACGTGTTTCGATAATCAAGTGATCATCTTCAAGAGGAAGATTGATCTTCAGTTTAATCTTCATCTTGAAGATGATCACTTGGTCATCGAAACACGTGTCGAGGTGTTATAATAACGGTTTGGTGTTGGGAAAAAACTCCAGTAATATTCATTACTACATCAAAGGTCCAAACGGTGCATCACAAGATTTTTGGTATAAATGAAGTATAAAAATGGCTTGTGATGCACTGTTTGGGCCTTTGGTGTAGTGATGAATATTACTGGAGTTTTTGCCCAACACCAAATCGTTATTTTCAACTCCTCGGCACGTGTTTCGATCACTCTCTTTTATATATACTTTCACGGGAGGTGTTCAAGTGACTTGGCACATTTGATTCCACCAAGAGCGGTATATATCAGAAATACGCCACAGACTGTGGCTGCTCATCGTTTTGAGGTTCATTTCAATACACCTCCAACTCCACTGTTCAAGAACTCTTTCATTTGGAGAACTGCGATCACATGGAATAAACTTTTCGAGAACGTTTTTCCAAATGGATTTTATCTCCACCGATTCAAATCCAATGTGAATCGCTATTTTCGCACAGGCAACGCTCTTAGACTGCCTTAAGGATTTTCCAGTAGTGCTTTGGCTTTGTCCTTGAAAAACGTCTTTTCTGCATCTGGTTAGAAAAATCATTATTTGAAAATGAACGTTTAGCGCTCTACTCAGGAAGAGTTTGTTTCCTCTACTGATAGCGAGGCGAGTGGAGGCAAACAGTCGTTTATACTCTGTACCATCTAGCCTCCTAGATTCGTAAACAGGATCAAGAGTTGAAACCCTGAGAAATTTTGCTTGATAGGTAGAGCTTAGAACCTCTGGCGTGAACTGAATATGTTGATAATATATATCAGAACAAAAATACTGCCTCTCCACGCGTGTTTCAATAACCACGTTGGCATCATCAGAAGATGACTGCATCAATGACTGAGACAGTTAGGGTCGTTCAGTAGACGTCCATCTTCTTTGTAAATTCAAAGTTTTATTTGCAGAGCATACTTTCTCTTCCTCTACATGATCATTTCTGATACTAACCAAGTTAGTATCAGAAGTGACCATGACCTTCAACAACATAAACAAGTCATCAATTACACAGATTAACCTCTGGAGGTATCTTGCATATGTGTCTGCTCAACCAAATAAACCCAGCTTCTTAACGAAGACGAATAAAATGCATGGTCTTTCGGGTCAGATGGTAAGAGTACGACTCTACCGAACTCTTAAAACCTGATTCGGTCTCCAGCGGGGTAGGCACAAAGTATATGCTCTGCTGTTTCATTATTTTCTAAACAGAGGCAACACACACTGTCTTCCGACAGTCCGTGACTCCTTTGCAAGGGAGTCAGCAGCCTCATTGCGTTCCAGACCAGTATGGCCAGCAATCCAGACCAGAGATAATCTGTTGAGTCTTCCTATCGAGGAGAGTCGGTTTTGGCAATTTACTACCAATTCAGATATTGCTCGGTAGGAGCCAAGAGCCTCTAACGTCGTTTCACTGTCCGAGAATATTTTTATTGACTTATGGGTCACATGTGGCCTAAGTGCGTGGGCTTACACTCACCCTCCCTACTCTACAGATACAGATTTTTATTGACTTGTGTATAAGGTTGGATTCTTCCAATCTCTCCACACATAATTCGATAGCGTAAATTTCCGCTTGAAATACAGTCGCAGAGGTTCCTAGGCAGGTTGATATCTCTGTCCTGAGTTTGCGACTAAAAACACCTGCATCAGAACCGGAAGGTGCTTTTGATCCATCTGTGAACCAACAACTATCTGCTTTTAATATCTCCTTCTCCCGGAGGATCCAGATTTCTCTACTCGGGAACAGTACTTTATAAGGCAGTTCATAGTTGACAGTTGGAGGCATAAAGTTAGAGGTCATTTCCAGAATGCTGTGACTTCCATTGTCAACCAACAGTCTTTTGCACTCTGCATTAAATTGATTTGTGTAATTGGCAATGTGCACAAGTCTGTATGCAGTCCATCTAACCTCTCTCTCCAGAAATATGTGGAGAGGAGGTAGATCTAGAAAGATCTCCATGGCCGCCGACGGTGTGGTACTGATGGCACCACTGATGACCAAACAAGCCTGTCTCTGTAGGCCAGAGAGCTTCGCCTGGGCCGTTTTCTGTAAGGCCTTCGGTCACTAGGCAATTGCGCCATAAGTAATCATTGGTCTGAGAGTCATCACATAAATCCAATGGATTTATTTGGGACCTAAACTTCAGGTTTTACCACAAATTCTTCAACATGTGCATAGAGACAGTTTGGCTTTGTGTAAAACAAAGGTTAGTTTTTTATCAGGTACAATGCCAAGATATTTCACCTCCGTTCCAAATGGAAAGACCTCACCATTGAGGGTGAGTGGCGTTAGATCGTACAATTTTCTCCTCCTGGTGAAGGGTACTATCACAGTTTTGCTGGGGTTGACAGACATCTGCTCCCTCAGGCACCAACTGTGAACAACGTCCAACGTGCTTTGGAGGATATTACAAGCTACCCTTTCCGACGTGGACCTTGCCAAGATGACAAGGTCATCTGCATAAGCTTGCAGATTTACTTTTCTTCTGTCGAGGGCATCAAGCAGACTATTCATCAGGACCGCCCACAGTAGGGTGACCCTGAATCTAGTGACTTCGCCTTGAAGAGTCCTAGTTACAGTTCTGTTTACCATCATCCTATAGATTTAGGTAGTGCATTGTTAAATGCTCCTTCAATATCGAAAAATATAGTTGTCAAAGGAATGGGAGATTTTCTCTACAAGGTTGTTTAATACTAAATCTGTCGATTTGCCGATTTGATAAGCATACTGGTGGTTATTCAGGGGGGATGCATATAATGCCATCCTCCTGATGTGTCCGTCCAGTATCCTCTCAAGTCCTCTCAACAGGAAGGATGTAAGGCTGATTGGTCGTACCGATTTAGGATAATATACTATATATTGAAATTTGATTGAACTTGTTTGAAAAATGTTAATATTTAGTCAGTTTGATTTACAAGGGTTATACAACTCTTATAAGGATTATGTATTTAATAAATTCGAAAGTTATGATATTTACAAATTTTTAATCTGAAAATGTGTTAAAACAGCAAAAACTGATATGAGAACGTCATAGCATGACCTCATGCGATAAAAGATCATTTTTTTGTAATATTGTTGCCTTTATATTACTAAAAGTTTTCGTTATATATTTCAATTTCAAAAAAGTTGTAGGCAGAATACTCATTATGAAGATTGACCGATCAGAAAAACTTAATTTTCTACTCACCAGTTACAACGGCCAAGCAAATTAGTAGTAGCAGTTTCATTGTGGAATAATTCTTCAAGACAATTGTTCAATCACACCAATGAAAAGATTAGAGAAGACTGTGTGAAGCGTAGTTGGAAGTTTTCGTATTGATATGATTCGAGAAATGATGTTTATCTTATTTACGAAAACACAGAACGGAAATCACGTTTCAATATTTTCTGATTGCATGAAATGAGTGTTTCATTAATCAATGATTTTGCAACATTTTTAATTGAGACTTTATGATGGCATGGGCATTAGCTCAAGTAGAAGAAGATCTATTTTCTGAAACAAGACGAATGATGGTTGTGGTTTTTGAACAGTAAAAAGAAGTTTGCCCCCGTCACAATTTAATAGCCAAATTGAAGTATCTAATAAAATCTTCTCTCATTCATTTTGACTATGGAAATCTTCTCGCACATTTCAAATATGAGTTGCATCATCAGGGACTGATTTCAAAATCTAATTGAGCGTATTCACACATAAAATTCACTCTTAGTCATACATTCTCGTTCAAATGGAATAATAATTAATTTTAACTCATCTTTTTGATCATTTCGGTTCATTAATTGAGAATTGATTGTTTTTCATTTACCTCATTAAAATATGATACAACCTACCGATACTTGATGAAAATCCATTATAACGCGTTCCAAAAACACTTCAATGTGAGAATTTTTTTCAAGGACAAAGCACAAGCACTACAGGAAAAACTTTAAAGCGCTCTCAGAGCGGTGCCTGTCCGAAAGTAGCGATTCACATTGAATTTGAATCGCTGGAGATTAAATCCATTTGGAAAAACGCTCTCGGAAAGTTTATTCCACATAAACGCAGTTCTCCAGACGAAGGAGTTCTTAAACAGTGAAGGTCGAAGTGTACTGAGTTGAACCTCAAAACGATGAGCAGCCACAGTTTGTCGCGTATTTATGATAAGTACCGCTCTTGGTGAAATCAAATGTGCCAAGTCATTTGAACACTTCCCGTGGAAGTATCTACAGAGCAGAGACAAATCTCCAACCTTTCTTCGATGTTTCAGGCTATGAAGGTTGCACGTGATGTTCGCGTCTCCAATCAGGTGGATGGCTCTTTTCTGGATGGAATCCAGCAACTTCAGGGTATGTTTGGCGGCAAAACTTCATACATGAGAACAATACTCCAAAAAAGGTCTGATCTGAGCTTTATAAAGCATCAAATGTTGCTGAGGTGTGTAAAGTTTTCTGATTCGGAACAGTGTTCCAAGCTTTTGAGAAGAAGCCTTTGCAATTCCAGCAACAAGATTTTGCCAAGACATATTGATGTCTATTCTGAACCACAATAAACTTATCGAAGCAGAAAGCTGAATTGTCTGATCTGACATTATCACATCTGGTTCGGAGACATTTATCTTCTTGGAGAAAATCGATTCCTAGATTTTTGTGGCATTGAATTGAACCTGGTTACTTTCACTCCAAATTAGAAATCACTTCTAGATCCTCATTAAGATATGCAGCTTCCTGCTGCCGGTGAAGATGTGCCTCCGTAGCCGATGTCCTGGAATCCAAATGGAATGACTAGACAAGGGTGACGTCGTCAGCAAAGTAATATATTGGATTCTTGGTTTTTTCTAATAAGTCTTTGATATACAGTAAAAAGCAAGACAAGTGTACTGTCATCAGCAAAGCAATATATCTTTGATATACAATAAAAAGCAAGACAAGTGTACTGTCGTCAGCAAAGCAATATATCGGATTCTTGTTTTTTCCTATAAGTCCTATAAGAGGGTTGGAAACAATAGGGATCCATGGGTTGATAATCGCTCAAGATGTTGAAGCCTTCCAAATATTTGAGGATACGGTGGTTTACTACTTTCTCCTTGGAAAATTTTTCTTGCCCTTTTTTAGGGCTGAATGCGAGCAATTTTCCAATAAGGAGGGAAAACCCCTTTCTTGTAAGACAGGTTGAAAATTCTGCAAAATACTGGTGCGAGTTCATTTGCGTACTTTTTAGGTACGATGACGAATACTTCATCAGGGCCAGACGCCTTGTGAATATTGAGCTGTTTCAAAGTTCGCCTGACTAGACGCTCGCTGTCGAAAAGTCATTTCCGGCATTGTGGATTCTAGTATGGAAATTGTGGGTGGTGCCTTTCTCAGAAAATCGACTGTGGAGTGGGACGCAAATTGTTCAGCTAGTAGATTTGCTTTTTCTATGGTTGTTATTGGAATTGAACCATCCGCTTGTGTTAGTGGAGAAGTTGTGGATTTTGTAAAGTTCTGATTAACAGCTTTATCTACCGACCAGAAGGATCTAGACCCGTTGGGATTATCAACCGCAACACGTGTTTCGCTATACAATAGCATCTTAGGGCATCACAATACTGTTTGTACAAATTCTGTCTCGTGCTTTCATATCATTTTATTATTACTACTTCTATATGATAAATGCATTACTTTAGGATATGTTCTGATTACGAGTGTTCCTCTGTCAAATGTTGAATTGGTCTTCCTATTCAATGAATTACTTCTATTCTCTTTTATTCTTTTTGATAAAGTTTTGGTTTGTCCAAAATAAAGTTTTGGACAAATTATTATTCGTTCTGTAGGCCACGTCAACACGTTGTTTTTTAAAAAACGAGCGATATTATCAGTAGGATCACCAAAGTAAGTTAGAGTTACATAATGTTTAATATCATTTTTTGAAACCGGATAGACCTGGTTCAGAGCTTGTATCTGCAATATTCCAGAAATAATTGAATAATATTCACCTCGTAACCATTATTGGCAGTAATATGTTTTATAAAAATAAGTTCTCTTTGAAAATTACTTTCTGAAAGTGGAATATTCAATAATATGTGAATCATACTATTAAATGCTGCTACTTTATGTTGATATGGATATGGAACTAATGCTTCTATACTTATTATAGAATCCCCAAAAATTCATTTTCTCTACAAAAAAATGCTTGGATTAAGATTGATAAGTTAATCAGTAAATTGGCTTTAAAGGTGTTGATCTCATCTTGTACCACTAAAAACAAATCCTAAAATTTCAATTACACTTCGAATTTTTTTTTGTAATATAATTATTTCAACAATTTTTTTTCGAAATATAACGAAACAAAACATTTTTACATTATGTGTTTATAGACAGTCAAAGTTGAAAAAAAAAATGTAAATTTTGAAGTTATAGTTTCAAGGTTCTGAAAGCATGCAACTAAGAATACACATATATGTTATTGTGTGTTGCCAGCCAGATCCCCAGATCATCCATATTCATACCAATATGCCATCTAACTGATGACATATCTCGAATAGAAGAGGTTTTTTTGTTTGAAAGCTAGTAGAAATCTGTAAGAAGATTTTAACATTCATTTTTGAAGTAGCCAAATTTTACAACCGAGAATCACCAAACTTATCCAGTAGGGGAGGCTTACTTACCTTACTTCATATTCAGTCAAATTATCTACCTACATCTCTGATTCTGAGCGTTTCATTAAAAAAAAATCTAGTACGTATAGAACTAGTATACTTAGAGTAGTAATATAGAACTGTTGTCAACTGAACAATATCATCTAATCGTTGAGACATGAAATTAACAAGAGACATGAAATCTGTGAATTCACTGCACTCGAACAAATTAACTATTGAAAGGAAGCAGAAAACTCATTTGGATATTCTTTTCGAATAACCGTTTCTCAAGTGTCATTACATGACTCAAACTTTGCTTAGTTGATGAGATTGAAAATTATTCATGCATATGGTTGTTCTGTTCAATCTCCCAACTGAATATTTGAAACTATGAATATGACTGGAGTTATTTCCCAACACCAAACCGTTATTTTAACACCTCGACACGTGTTTCGATCACCAAGTGATCATCTTCAAGAGGAATATTAAACTCACCATACTTACAAAGCTATCCTTATTTACACCTAGAACAGTACCTAGAACAGATACCTGTTCTAGGTACTCACGTCTTGAGTGTCTTAAATTAGTTTTACAATTTGCCTTATTGTCTGAAATTAATTTTTTAATGTGTCCTCGTATAATAGTCGTAAATGAATCGGATACCAACCCTTTGGAGAACATCAACCATGGAAATTTTGAGCGCGAAAGTCAATAGGCATTATGGAACTCAGGTGTTCCATGAATATCTAATGAGTACCTAATCAGCACTTCATTCCCATGCCCTTATTTATTGACGAACGTACTGTAAGAACTCAGTCCATCAGGCATAGTGGTTTTCAGATCTAAGTTTACTATAAATATCTAATGAGCAACTGATTATCACTTTATTCTCATGCCCTTAATTATTTAGGAACTTACTGTATCCTCATATCCAGATCCATAAGCCTCATAGGCATTATAGAATCTAGATTTGCTATAAATATCTAATGAGCACCTATTTCGCACTCTATTCTCTTGCCCTTATTTATTGAGGAACGTACTATAAGAACGTACATCAGTCATGGTGGATTTCAGGTCCATGAGCCTCATAGTAATTATGGAATCTAGGTTTACTATACATATCTAGTGGGCACCTAATAATTACTTTATTTTCCTGCCCTTATTTATTGAGAAAAATACTATAATAACTCAGTACATCAGCCATGGTAGTTTTTAGGTCCATGAGCCCCATAGGCTCATGGTTCACTATGAATATCTAGTGAGCACTTAATTAGCACTTTATTTTGATTGTCTATGTATGAGTTTACGAGCATGTCAATACTTTATTGTATATTGATTTTTTTTTCTCAAATCAGGTATCCCGATTTTTTTTGTCGCTCATTTACGGTCGTTTTCATCTTAATTTCTTGCATACACCTAATCAGCACTTCATTCTCTTGCCATTATTTATTGAGAAACGTAGGGGAGACTGGGGCAAGATGAGATAGCTAAGACAAAACTCGGTATACATGAAAAATTAAACTCTTTAATAACATTCTTCAACAAAAGAGGTAACCATTTTACATTTCTCTCTTATAATTAAACGTTGTAGCATGCAAATTCACAGAACTTTTTTTGGCAAATAATGAAAAAATAAACTCGGCAAATTTCCCGTTTTGCCCCATAACTGGGATAAGATGGGAAACGCTATGGGGCAAAACGAGTACGCTTTTAATCGGGTAGACAGCGTTCACAAATGTGTGCCTCTTCATCTTCCTCATCTACTCCGGCACATGAATTATGCGCGCAACCTTGGCACACGCCGCAGATGACCCAACCTTCGGTTGAATCTGAGTATAAGTACCCACAATAGATGCAAGCACAGTCATCATCCTCTTCTTGGGATGAACTATCTTCCGATTCAGTTTCTTTTTTGCACCTTTTGGTTTGACGCTTTTTCTGCAGGTTTTCCTTGTCAGNGAAAAAATATCAAAATCAATTGACCATTTTTGCTAGACCAGTCCAGCATTGCAATTACTATTAATAAAGAAACAAAGAGCCTTCCGATATGATTATGACTTTTATTCTTTTACCAAAATATTCCATTTGTTAATCAGAATTTCTTGTAATTGTATTAGATTTACATTGGCTACATAAATTCGGTAAATAAAATTAACTATAAATTCATCCTCCACAATATTCTTTCTATTCAGAAATGAAATACCAAATTATTTCAATAAATGGGTAAGCATATAAGATCTAAACCTAAGTCACAGTCTAAGCAATATCAAGATATTCCATGATTGAAGAATAAGTACAACTTTCCAGAAGAGACATGAATAATATTTGTTATAAGAATGACAACAAAAATAAAAGATAGAAACCAAATATCCTATAGTTATTCCTTTGCTAATTTATTATCACAGCCTCTCATAACTCATTTGCGCCCACAAAAACAAGCATTTTAGATCACAATGTTTTACTATCAGATGCAAAGGCACTGGTCGTCAATTGGTCTCATAACTGGTTAGCAAGGCAGCATCAACAGGCTCCAAGCAACTAGGGCAGGTAAGACTTCTCATCAGCCAATCATCAATGCATATCATATGATAAGTGTGCATACATGGAAGATAACGAAGTGCATCACCTACCAAAAACTCCACCATGCAAATAACACATTCCCTAGCCTTTTTGCATCCGTCATATGTTCCTGTAGGAAGGTGCTGTATCAACCCAATTCTCTTAGCGATTTTCACCTGTTCTTCCTCCGTTAACTGGGCAATTGAACGAGTTACACTTGGCGATGGGTGATAAACAGGAGAAGCTGCTTGTATCGGGAGGGATTCCTATTCAGATTAACTAATTATTATTTTCCATATATCAACAACAGTTTCATTTACCTGATAAGCTGGTGGTCCCAACTGATCAGATGAAGATTCTCGAACACTATCACTGCCTCTCAGCAATGAAATATCATCGTTAGATGATTTCTTCAAGCAATTACCCATATTTATGTTAGTCATACATTCAAGTGGAATTTATTACAGACAAATTCATATTTCTTATAATTCTTACGAGACCATGACTTACACATGTGCATGAAACAAATCAGTACTATTATTGGGAGTGTCGTTGATGATTTTCATTTGGAAAAAATTGCAATAATGAGCAATTATGGAATCTAGGTTAATTATAAATATCTGATGAGCATCTAATTAGCACTTTATTCTCTAGCCATTATTTATAGAGAAACGTACTATAAAAACCCAGTACATCGGTCATGGTGGTTTTCAGGTCCATGAGCCCCATAGGCATTATAGAATCTAATTTCACTATGAATATTTAGTGAGCACTCAATTAGCACTCTATTTTGATTTTCTATGTATTAGTTTACGAGCATCTCAAGACTTTATTGCATATTGTTAATTTTTCATTCTCAAATCGGGTATCTCAAAATTTTTTTCTGCTTATCAACGATCGTTTTCATCTCAATTTCTAGCACTTTATTACTACGCTTAGTTTATACCTGATAGAGCATTCGTCCTCGTTTTCGAGAGACTTGATTCTTAGATCTGTTGTTTAGCGAAATTGGAAGTTTTTGTTTATTAATTAAAAATTTTACGATCCTCACCGTTTAGCACTTAATTAGCACCTTTTCATTATTTTATTATTATTTTCATTGCTAGCATCACATGATGCTAGCAACGCAACTTTGAGTATTGAGTTGCCGTGTAAGTTACAGAGCACCTAATTTTTGACTCCGTTACCTAAAAAGCACCTAAAAAGTACCAAATTTTGGCATTTTCTAAATGCGATTTCCGTACTTTGGGTCGCTGGCGTAACAGAGCTTAAATTTTTACCAATACCCTAGCCGCCAATTCGAAAATATAACACACATACGCATGCAATAACAGAATTGTTTCAGAATTGTTTTTAAATACGCTCACCAAATTGACGTAGATGGACTCTCCTGAAGTCTATAACAAAAGCCACTCTTTCTCCAAAACTCCACCAAACTCTCACCAGGAACTCGAAAATGTTCTCTAAATCAACTAAATTGAACCAAACTGGATTCACCAAATCTCCGCACACGACTGCCTTAAATCTTTCCCAAAAACTCTCCACCTTAACTCAGTTAGGGGATGTTATTAAAATTATCTCAGAAAAGTTCCTGAAATCTGAAAATATTTCCAAACCCGGTACTCTTAGCGTCCTCTACATGTCCAGCGAATAAGTCCGCAAGAATTTCCGACTGGTCACCGATATTTCTAATGTCGTAAGCCTGCTACTGATATATAGATGTCACTGCCGGGTTATTTTTGATATTTTCTCTGTCTCGAATAAGAGGTATCCCAGACGGATGCCTTAATTTTATCATGTCGTTAAACCTGTGAACTCATAAAATAAATTTCGATATTTATTATACGTTCAAGTACTTTTTGACTGTTATTATGAATGGGGTACACAGACTGGATAATAGATTTCCGACCCTTAACGTCATGATAATGATATGAATGATGAGGTTGAATGTTCTAAAATATCTGATTTCTTAAACATTGGGCAGTTAATTTTAACGACTTTTCCTTTGATTGGCTTGGCTCTGGTTGACCTAAAACTATTACTGAAAGCTGATAAAGGTTTCCTTTGTCTACGAAAACCCATTTGTTTTGGTAGTCAATATTTAACGAAAAATAATGTCCAACTTATTACAGTCTTCTTTTTACTCCTCCGATATGCGATCCAGGATTCCGGCAATTCTTATCAGCAGCTATCTAGGATCTAGGTTTAGGTGTTCTGATATACCAGCTAGCTGTTCAAGGATTGTCTTCATTTTTGGATTCTGACTTTGGTGTCTACCTCCCAACAATAACTTCAACTACAATCTTGATTCTGATTTAACCTAAATTACAACTTCCACTAATAACTTGATTTCGCCTTTAATTTTTTTAAATTTACACTATACTTTACTTCACGTGCGAAGCCGGATCTGGTCGCTAGTTGAAAACATAAATCATTGATTATTCATGCTGCTCCCATGTAATGATACTCCTATGGAAATTCTTATCTTTACCGTTTGTTTTCCAAAGAACTGCTACTTCACCAGGATAAATACAAATATTTTCATATGATAATTCCACTAAATTCCTTGTTTTGGATTCCCAATAATTCCAACAATCAGCTTTATGAAGAATATATAGTTCGTCAACTGAAATTGAAAGATATCACTATAAATTCACAGAAAAGTATATTCTTCAAAAAGTTTTAGTAACATAAGTCGACAGGTTATCTATTATCATGTTATTTGAAAGTCAACTTCCAAAAATCCTTTATCTTCTAGTGATAACGTACTTAGAAGTCTGTAAAATTCTACTCAGGTCAACGTGATATACACTGATTTCCAAAGAGCTTTCGGCAAATTAAATCATGATGTATTGTTAAACAAACTTTCTCTATGTGGAGCTACTAAAGGAATTATGAAATTTTTAGCATCATACTTAGACGAGAGAACATTTAGAGTGAAGTTTGGTACTAACTATTCAGGTGAGTACTAGTAAAAATCAGGAGTGCCCCAAGGGCCAAATCTTGTGTCTCTACTGTTTCTTATTTTTATTAGTAATCTACCAGCAGAAATAAAATATTCAAATTCTTTACTTTTTGCAGCTGACCTTAAATTTTATAGAAAAATAAATTGTGTTCAAGATTGTAGTAAGTTGCGGGGTATGCAGGTTGGCTGTCCTTGTTCATCTTTCACTGCCTGAACCACTGTGCATGCTGTTTTTTGGCGAGTGCATTGGCTTGGTATGTGGGGGTTGAGCAAACCGGCCATCGGATGCCTGCTTCCACGTAGCCCCGCTGGATACATGAATGACAGAACCACTTGTGGTTATGTTATTCCCTAACTGAATGGCATCCCAACGATGGCTTAATCCTAAGGTGTGTGCATCCGTGCCGAGAGGATGAATGTCATAGAGCCTATCAGCTGTCTCTACGGAACCTTCGAGATACCGGGCGCTGACGCTGAGTCTATATAGGAGATGGATGTCGAGCTTACGACTCCAACTGACCTCCCTGTAAATTCAGTTCGGGAGCGAGTCTACAGAGAAGATGGTTGACGAGTTTACGACTCCAAATGATCTCTCTGTAAATTTAGTACAGGAACGAGTCTACAGAGATGATGGATGTCGAGCTTACGACTTCAACTGATCTCCCTGTAAATTTAGTTCGGGAGCGAGTCTACAGAGGAGATGGATGTCGAGTTCACGACTCCAACTAACCTCCATGTCAATTTAGTTCAGGAACGAGTCTACAGAGATGATGGATGTCGAGCTTACAACTCCAACTGACCTCCCTGTAAACTTAGATGTGGAGCGAGTCTACAGAGGAGATTGATGTCAAGTTTACGACTCCAACTGACCTCCCTGTAAATTCAGTTCGGGAGCGAGTCTACAGAGAAGATGGATGTCGAGTTTACGACTCCAAATGAACTCCCTGTAAATTTAGTTCGGGAGCGAGCCTATAGAGGAAATGGATGTCGAGTTTACGACTCCAACTGACCTCCCTGTAAATTTAGTTCGGAAGCGAGTCTACAGAGAAGATGGATGTCGAGTTTACGACTCCAAATGAATTCCCTGTAAATTCAGTTCGGGAGCGAGCCTACAGAGGAAATGGATGTAGAGTTCACGACTCCAACTGACCTCCTTGTAAATTCAGTTCGGAAACGAGTCTACAGAGAAGATGGATGTCGAGTTTACGACTCCAAATGAACTCCTTGTAAATTCAGTTCGGGAGCGAGCCTACAGAGGAAATGGATGTAGAGTTCACGACTCCAACTGACCTCCCTGTCAATTCAGTTCAGGAATGAGTCTACAGAGATGATGGATGTCGAGTTTACGACTCCAACTGACCTCCCTGTAAATTCAGTTCAGGAACGACAGCTTCTCAACTCCTCAACTCCTGATTCAATAACTGAACCTTAAAAAAAAGGTTTGGTGGTGCAGCCAGGAAACGTCGTCTCTTCAAGAGCGGTGTACCTTATAAAACCCCCTTGCAGTAAATTCTTGAGCGGCGTACGCAGTGGGTACGAACCCCCAATGAGCAGGATAGCAAACGTTTGCTCTCAAGTGATGATTCACCTAAACCAGAGGCGAAAAAGCCCTGCACGGCTGATCTAAGGCATCGTCAGGTGCAAAAACCCCGATGTGCAAAAACTCTCATATGGGAAAGTTGTCGCCGGTATCAAGGTGGGAATATTCAACTTGACTATCCGACTACCTCATAAACGATGAAACAGCAGAGCAGAGCTGTGTGGGTTGATTACATAATCGGGGATTGTCATATTACAATAATAAACGTTTATGACCAGGATCAGAGGAATTGAGGATATTTGAAGAAAATTTGTTCCCAGCATTAATTTCAGTAAGTAAAAAATTCAATTACATCATCTTAATTGGAGATTTCAATATTCATTACAATAAAATAAATACCCACGAGTTGAAGACTTTGAATAATATCTTGGAATCTTTTCAGCTAAAGGTAACAACAGATAAACCTAATCGTGTATTCACAAACTTGAACAGAAAAACTTCCAGCAGCGCTATTGACTATGTCATCACAAACATACCTCTAGAACTTTATCGCTGTGACATCATAAATCCTAATCTAAGTGATCATTTTTCGCACATTTTCTATTTGCTGAAAAATTCATGTTTCAGTGAAAGTCAAGACAAATTTTCTCATAAAAGCTATAAACTTCGTGATCTAAGGAATTTCAATTTCGAGAATCTGCTCACATATCTGAGTAGAATTGACTGGAATCCATTCTACTCACTGAATGATGTTAACGAAGCATACTCAGAATTTATTACCAACATTAAATGGTGCCTTGATGTCAGCTGCCCGCTTGTAAATATGAACGATATTATCAGGCGTACACACATTAAATGGTATATTCCAGAATTAGCAGAAATTAAAAATTACTTACAAGTTCTGCACTGGTGTATGTCAGTGTCAAACTGCAATGCTATAAAGAAAGAATACTCTCTGAAAAAAAAGCGAATACAGACAATTCATAACCAAAGCAAAATCTCTGTATGCTAATAACAAAATAAATTCAGCTCCAAATAAAATCAAGGAAACATGGAAAATTAAAAATGAAAATTTGAACAGGAAATGCAATAGCAAGGAGGAAATCAGTCTAAAGTGTGAAGATCGCTTGATAACAGATAAAAAGGAGGTAGCCGATGCTTTTGCAATACAATTTTCGAAAATCTGCAAAAATAAAACAGATGACTATTTCGGAAAAAATCCTACTTTCAATTGTACTGCTTCCAGTAATTCTCTAAACAGTACTTTTGTCCCATATCTAACTGAAACCGATGTATCTGATATTATTAAATCACTGAAAAATAAAACCTGTTCAGGAACTGACGAGATATCATCAAAACTATTGAAAATTATGCTTGCTTATATTATCACGCCTTTAACAAGCTTAATCAACTTATCCCTAGCTGAAGGTGAATTCCCAAATTTATTGAAAGTTTCTTTCGTGTTTTCCCGTCACAAAAAAGACGATAAACAAGTAATAGATAATTATTGCCAAATATCACTTCTAACAGAATTTTCTGAAGTCATTGAACGCTGTGTACAATATAGTAGTAAATTTTGTGGAGCACAATAATCTGTTAACGCAATCTCAACATGGTTTCAGAAATAGTAAATCTATAGAATCAACCACGTATCATTTAACGAATTTTGTTTATACTTCTTTAGGCAAGGGACAATATGCAGTATCACTTATGTTTAATTTCTCAAAGGCTTTCGACTGCCTAAACATTGCCTTCATCTTGGAAAAACTGTTTTCTGGGTATCAGGGGCACTATTTTCAAATGGTTCGAATCTTATTTGACGAACAGAAGTATAATTGTTAAAATGGAACATCGATTATCAGAGAGGTGCTGTTTCTTTAGACGTACCTCAAGGATCAGTACTGGGACCGTTAGTTTTTCTTCTGGTTGTTAACGACCTTCCCAACCACATAACTGTTGGAAAAGTTACAATGTTTGCGGATGATACCACAGTTACTGTCTGTGGACAAGATCTTGAGGAACTCCAGAGGAATATTAAAATCACTCTTCTTGAAAGGGAAGTATGGTGTCAGAAAAATCATCTTTTTCTGAACAAGAATGAAACGGTTTGTATAAATTTTCATATAAAGAAAAAATGAAAGATGTCATGAAGCCTAAGAGGAAATATATATGCGGATGATTTGGTCTTATACGCCAGTGGAAAAAATGTGAATTCTATTTGTTCTCATCTTCAGCAGGCAATCACAGGGCTTCAATCATGGTCTCGTGATACGGATTTCCAATTTTCCCCCACTAAAACTAAATGCGTTCTATTTTCTAAAAAATCCCTACAGATCAAACCTTTTCTGAAATTGAATGATCAGCAATTGGAGTTTGTGGACGAAATGAGATTTCTGGGGCTGACATTTGATAGACAACTGAAATGGAAATCCCACGTAAGCAATCTGAAGAAAAGCTGTCAGAGGGGTTTGAATCTGATGAAAATACTCTCGATACAGAAGTGTTGCTTGGTAGCAACACGTATGATACGTCTCTCGAATATATCGTCTTTTTAAGCTGAAGTTGACTGAATCTAAAAGAGTGTGTTATACCAAATTAATCATAAAAGTAAAGCCTGTACGATGGTATGAGGTTCACCGAAAAATACTAAGAATCACCGAAGAAAATAGTGCATAAAGTGTAGAGTGCCATGACTGAAATTCTTAGAAGAAACCGAAAGTGATACAAAAAAAAAATAAAATAAAAAATTCATTACAAAAACATACCGGTAGACCTCTGTCCAGGGTCGGATTAAAATATTCATAAGAACCCCAGAGTATATATGGAAGAAAATGAATAATACGAACGACTGCCTGGAACAAATTAAAGAAAACAAAAAAAATGTTACTGTGGAAGATGTATATAAATTATTGGAATTCATGAATGGAAATTTCATCAAGAAGTTTGAGTCTATAGATAATGAAATAAAATCGTTGTTGATGATTGTAGAACATAAATGCACCGATGCTGAAAAAAAGATCTCATCATTAGAAGCTGAAAACTATGAACTAAGAGTACGAGTCGAAGAACAAGAAAAAAAATTGAAAGGAAATAACTTAATAGTATATGGTATACAAGAAGAAGAGGGAGAAACGTCTACTAGTCTGACCAAAACAATCATCCAAATTTTCGAAAATATTCTTCATAT